TTATTTTGATTGGTTAATCCTGTCTGATGACGTCGCGCTAAAAATAGGTACACGTTTGTTTCTAAGGGTTGGGCAATACGTGGGAAACCCCCCGTAGCTTTTAATAGGACTACATTCTTTCAATGAGAAGTAGGTAACATCATGATCAACTTGAAAGGGTTAACATGCCGGGTGACTATGGAGAGTCGAGAAAGTACTTATAGTGTTAGCTTATAAATATGGGGTTTGTATTCTTTTACTTCATTTAACACGTAATCATGCCAGCTGAAGGATGGGAGGACTATTTGTCCAGTATTTACTTTAATCCCAACCATCCAGCATCCTTCTCGGGTCCATCAAAATTATATTACATCTTGAAAAGGGAAGGAAAAACTAATATAGGTTTACATCGGATCAAGAAGTGGTTAGCTAATCAGGATGCTTATTCTCTACAACGTCCATTGAGATACAAGTTCAAACGCAACAGAGTGATCTCAACAGGTTTGGATTCACGTTGGGACTTAGATCTAGCCGATGTATCGAACATAGCCTCTGACAATGATGGAGTCAAATACTTGCTAATAGCCATCAATGTATTTACACGGTTTCTATGGGTGGAACCCCTTTAAAGATAAAACACCAGATGCAGTCATCAAAGCACTGAAGAAAATATTTTCTCGTGCTACTCTTCCACAGATTATAAGATCTGACAAGGGTCGCGAATTTGATAACAAGAAAGTGAGATCTTATTTTAAAAGCAAGGGTATCACCTACTATGTCACTCAGAATGAAACCAAAGCATCTTATGCAGAGAGAGTCATACGGACTCTCAAGACAACCATGTACAGATACTTTACATACAAGCAAACATACCACTATCTTCATATTTTACAAGATCTTGTAAGGAACTACAACCACAGACCCCACAGATCACTGAATGAACGGGCACCTGCTGATATCAACAAAAACAATGAACCAATTGTTTGGAAAGAACAGTACGTTGATCCACTGCACAAACAAGTCAAACCCAAATCAGAGAAGATGAATGAAAGAAGACGGAAAGCCTTTAAATTCAAAGAAGGGGATCAGGTGCGACTGTCACATTTGAGACATGTCTTTCAACGTGACTATCAGGAGAAATGGACAGAGGAAATATTCATTATTAGCCGACGGTACTTCAGGGATGGGATACCAGTCTATAAAGTCAAGGATATGGCAGGAGATCATGTCATTGGTTCCTTCTATGCGAATGAACTTCAGAAAGTCTATAAGTCTGCAGACACCATGTGGCGTGTAGACAAAGTCTTGAAGAAGAGGAAGAGAGCTGGTAGAAAAGAGGTGTATGTTAAATGGATGGGTTATCCTAAGAAATTTAACAGCTGGATCCCAGAGCAGGACCTCCAGGGTGTATAAATAAGGATAGATGTGATGCACTTCTCATTGGATACAGAACCACCATGGAAGCAACATGTCCCCGATTGTCAGAGACGGTTTTCAAGGAAGGATGTTATGCTGAGACACAGGAGACATAAGCACATTATTGATTATGAAAATCCACCGCCGCCGCCGCCGCCGCCGCCACGGACGCAATTACCCCCGCCGCCGCAGACACAATTACCGCCGCCGCAGACACAATTACCGTCGCCGCCGCATAACTCAATGCATAAGCAACAGCGAAACCACAATCAATTCAATGATAAAGAACATTTCAAGTTTACCATCCCCTCTAATGCAGTTGTTGTGGGTCCTACTGGCAGTGGTAAATCTATGTTTATCTACAACCTTCTCATGAAGGGATGTATACAGCCAACACCTAATCACATTGTCTGGTGCTATACCCAATGGCAGCCCCTGTACCAGGTGATCAGTGAACAGTTGCCCCATGTGAAGTTTGTGAAAGGACTTCCCTACAATGTACTTGACGATACCTACTTGGATGCTAGAAATAACAACATGATGGTGTTGGATGACATGATGTATGAAGCTAAGGATGATAAACGTGTCAGTCAGTTATTTACACGAGCTTCTCATCACAAAAATGTTATTGTCTTTCTGCTGCTACAAAATTTATTTCCGCGGGGAAGGAGTCACGTGACATCGCTCTGAATTCCCACTATGTGACTCTATTTAATTCCCCAGTGGATAGACTACAAATCCAACTGCTTGCTAGACGCATTTTTTTCATACCACGTCCCAGACAGATAGCCAATGGAATGGTTTAGATGAAGGTCACTGTCATGTGACCAAGTCGGATGTTTTAAGGGAGAGGAGGAAATTGTGAATTGCCCATCTCCATTCTATGCATGACGTCCATTTGAGGGCAAGGGCACGCCAAAAGGTGTGAATTGCCCATCCCAATGAAAACCAAGCATTCTATGCACATGGCCGAAATCAGTCGGGCGACAAGATTATAAAATCACAAAGCTGCTTATCAAAAGAAGGATATCTTCACGGTGACGAAATTAAATTTGCTGATTAGTGGTACATCTCCGGAAATTACCTGCCACGCCTCAGACTAAACAGTAAACACAGCAGAGTGATGGACAGCTAATGAAGTGATAATTAGATTTACAGGAAGCTAGAGATGTGCATGTATATACAACGAATCCACGAGGACAGGTCAAACAGACGTTATAAAACAATGATGATACGTAGATGTGATATATAGAGTGTGATATAAAGCTAATTAAGTGACAATAGCGGCGGCTTTTGTGATAAAGTATAGCTGTCATAACGCCGACGGGCCGACGGAGCATGCACGCCAGATCATAGATTTGATCCGGTTTCAGCAAAATATAACGGCGCGCAGTGCCCGACTATCAGGTGTGACTCGAATGCACATTATACCTTGGCAGAACCGCATTTTCAAGGGCTTTCTGATACACTAACATTATAAATAATAACACTACAGGTATTGCTGTTATGGTTAGATTCCAAACGCTTGTCCTTTTAGTTATGTCAAGCATGTTCATTCCTGTATTGCTCAACTATCTAATGTCGCACAACAACATATTACATATTCCCAGAATCCCACATGAATGATCTTGCAAATGCACTATAGATGTAAATATTAACACCGCCGGTATAGGCGGTGTACAAATTCATCTATATTCCGCCAATCTATTTCACGTCCCTTATATTTTGCAGTTCGCACATTAATACTCATATAGCTCCACCACTGAATGTGCAACATGTGCGTATTATACATTGTCTAAAACACGCCTCAATAGGCTTTCAAAAGCGCTATAGAAATGTATATTCTGAGGTGATGTGTAAGAATAGTAGCCGTTATATCACGACTGCGCGATGTTGGCGAAAATTGCTATATCACAGAAGAATTGAACTTCAGTAAAATTACACAAAACATCACGTCGGAGTTTCAATCTGGACTGGTTACCAGGGGCAGCACAATATTCACGTTTGCATATTTGGAGAGAGCGTTTCCCAAGGTTTCCAAGAACGTATAACATGCATAGATATGACAAAGTAGAAGGCTTGAAAAATGCCATGGCGCAGGCGACTTCCACCGGAGGCTGGGTGGAACAAGTTTCTTCCACCGGGGCCTACGTGGAAGAAAAACGCACAGCTTAAAATCACAGAAACCTTAATTGCTCGGCTATAAAGTTGCGTAAAAAACAAACGGAAACATTCTCCGTGTAGCCACAGGACACATCTATCCAACGACGCGCGGCATGCGCGTGTAAGGCGATTTATGCAGCCCCCAAGGGAGCCGTGCTGAAATAGGTGATACAATCTGGGAGGCCCTTATCGTTGTTAATTTTTTCCATGTTATTTCTGAAGGACATTTTATTAATTTAACATTGCAGCTAATTTTCAATTTTTTAAACTATGACAACTTTGCTCGTTTAAGTCGTTGGAAAGTTGAGTCGATCTTATACCACGAAAATGGGGAATCGAAATAATTTCGTAATTAGTTTCTGATCCACTTGACTGTGGGATAGTTACTGGCTGTCATAGTGTGTGCATGTTATAAAAAACTATTTCTTAAAAGAAATGACAGACGCATTCTTGTTAATTAACACTGACTAAACTAAATGTTAAGTGACCATCTGCTGGGTTGTCGGATTGTTGTTTGTCCACTACTACCGCATGTTTTCAAGTGCTATACTAAAGCAGAGACGATATAATAATAATATTTATTATATGGTCTCTTATTAAAGGTACTCTGTTTACACTGTGTATTCTTAAATTTCCCCCAGACAAATTAATTGATCGGTTTTGGATAGATGTATTTCCCTTCTAGACAAGAGCCAGAAATAAACGTGTGGCCTACACTATAACGGGCGTTGGCGATGACTAGTCCTCGGCTATGAGTTGTCACTGTATGGCCACTTGCTATACCACAGTGTATGGCCACAGACTATCACAATATATTGTCAGTGAGGTGATCAATGTTTGGTGATGATTTACATAAAAATATTGATCTAATTGCTTTTGCAGGAAGGATATATAAACAATGTCGATGTTTGACACCAATATATAAGTGACATCGTTTGAAACCGTGGGGATTAGGGTTTTTCATGATTTTTCATGGTACAGTATTCCATAGTGAAAATGGCGTGGTCTCAGTTTAGTAAATGTTGGACCAAATAAAGTTACAATTCTTGGTGAAATGATGTTTCGGTGAAACCGAAAACATCGTGATCGAAAACTGAAGAATCTGGTTACAATGCTCGCAACGAAATCGTACTGCAGCTGCGACTGTTCCGGGTGTAAGGCTTGAATCATGTAGCTAGTTACAATAGATGTGTAATAAATCAATTCCAGTTTGGATTCTGGGCTAGAAACGCTCGCCAGTAATCCAAGTTTGTTGTAAATGTGCACCCACCAAAAACTTGAGGCAATTACATAGTATGTTTCAACTTGAGACTAACTAGATCTACTTTATATGCTTTATGGAAAACGGTTCAATTTATAACTTGTGATAATGTGGAACATTGTTATTTTCATTGCAGCAAGGGCGAATATGAGACAAGCATTCCAGGATATACAAACACATGATGGAGGAATACATCAAATAATCCAGGAGCTGTGAATTATGTAAGTGCAGCTGTTAAATACCATTGTCTATAAACATGTTGATATATTTTGGGCTTCTTATTGCAAGATTTGATTTGTACTTGTACCCAGCCTCTGACCAGTAAGTGATATTCTGTGCTTGCTACATCTTTGGTATTCAGCATGATTCTGGATATTATCATATCAATCATTACATTCCAATAGTGTGTTCATGTCCACCAAACACGTGTCTGTACAAACGTGGTAGAAGACTTAGTCTCCTGGTTAGTGTCACTAGGTTTGAGTAAATATCACAATTCAAGTACCTGCTTAAGATTATTGAAAGTTTTCTATATTTCAGAAATATGGATGACTGCAAAAGCAAAGAAGAAGATAATGAAACAAACTGAAAAAGTGTACACGTTTCCAGAATTATTAATAAAATTGTTGATTACAAGTCTGCCATTCTTTTATCTGTTTTGGTGTCCTTGTAAAGATTAACTATATATGTCCATAGGGACATGTGTTGCTTAGAAACAGCGTTAGAAAGACATATAGAGGTATAGACCCAACCCTATCATATAGTAAAAGGGTTGAGTCTAGACATCTATATGTCTTACTAACGCTGTTTCTAAGTGAGACACGCCCCTATGTATATGTCTAACTATTTGCCACAGACATATTATGTACATTGTTAACTGTTAGTGTTCTACGTTTTGTTCCAGTGGTTTACGTTTTAAACAAAACACCACCTAATTGTTATCAGGGCTATTCTATATGCTTGAAAAGTTAAAACTATATGTTCAAAGGAAATGTTATTAAAACGTTTCCAGAACCATACAAAATCACATCTATAAAACGTTTTCAGAAAACCTTTATGGAATATATTCACTGAATGTTGGAGAAAACATTGCTGAAACGTTTCTGGAACCATACAAAATCACGTGAATAAAACATTTTTTAAAACATTTCCAAAACATCTCGAAAAAACATTTCAGGAAAACATTTTAAAAACCTTATAGTTAAACGTTTTTGAAAATGTTTCTAAAACTTTCTGGAACCATACAAAATCACGTGAATAAAACATTTTTTAAAACATTTCCAAAACATCTCGAAAAAACATTTCAGGAAAACATTTTAAAAACCTTATAGTTAAACGTTTTTGAAAATGTTTCTAAAACATTTCTGGAACCATACAAAATCACGTGAATAAAACATTTTAAAAAATGTTTCTGGAACATTTCACGAAATGTTTTGGGGATATTTTTAAAACGTTTTCGTGTTAGCGAATTCGCTGAGGTAGACTTGGATGTACAGCATGGATTTCACTGGCAGGTTTTTCAGGCCGTCTACCATGCTGTCGAATTCCGACACCATCTGCAATCCCACGTTTTTCGTCCTGGGTTTGCTCGACAGCGTGTGGGCTACTCTTTGCCTCAACATGCTGATGATCACGCTGCGTCTTTGCGAGGGATGTAAGCCATGAGAAGCGTTTTGTCAGGTAGTGATCTTTGTTGTCCGTGAAAACGTGGGCAGAGTCGAACGTGATGTTGAGATTCCAGTCGATTTGGGATGGCACTAATACCCATTTGTTGTCGTTGAAGATGAGAGTGTACTGCATGTTTTTGGAGACTGCCGTGGTCTCGACGTCGTCCAGGTGGAACAGCCTGCCGCGGAAGGCTCGGGTTATCGTCCATTCGTCCTCGTCATTACATATCATGTCGTACTGCATGTTGTTGACCGCCCTTCGGTATCGACGAAATCGTCTAGGTCGTGCCACCATCACCCGCAGTGGGCGGCAGTTCAATGCGTTTGTAAATGCTGTTTTTCAGTTGCAAGGCATACAGTTTGCCGTCGACTCCGGGTTCGTCGAATTTGCGCGTGTCCCTGAGGTCGGAGATCGCTGTGTTTGCGCATTTTCTAATGCATGTTCCCGGAGCATGAGACTCTGTCATTGTCGTATGTGAAGCGTCGCGCTAAGATATCTTTTACTTACAGGATAGTGTTTAACGTCTAAAACAGATATTTTCTATTCTGTGATGTTGCCTCGGATTAATTTCTTGTACTGCCGCAACGAAAACGATTCGGTTCTGCCGTCCTTGTACTTTTCCGTTTTCAGCGGCACTGCTCTCAGCAGTGTGGAAGGTCGTTCGCCTTGAACGGTGTCTGTCATGCTCAGCTGATCGAGATGAATGCACAGTTCACGCTACGGAACAAGATCGGGTAACTCTGTGCCTGTCACTGTGGTTTCCGGTGGTATGTCATTTGACGTAAACCCGAGCGTGTTAACCAACGGCCGACTGAGTCTCAAGCCGTTTTTTCCGTTGTTAGCTAACATGACCGTGCGGTACAAGTCGTTCATTTTGAGTTCGGCTCCCACCGGTTTGAAGATTTCTTCGTTGAGTGAGCACACGCTGTAGTATCCGTCCGTTATTTGGTTGCGGACGTTATTGACAAACAGCCTGTTGTTTTTGCCGTTGATGTTGGTCTATCTTGGGTAGTAGGTGATATCGCAGAGCGCGACTTCGAGCTGACCGGACGTATTATCGATCGTGTGCACCAGTTGAACGGACTCGCCGCTCATTATTCCCGAAAGCGTCACATACATATTGAAAAAGTAGATATGTATACTATATTACAATTCAAATATGTACAAACTGGGAGTGTTTTATTCTAAAAGTGTTAATATAAGTGCTACCTATCTCACGCAACCGAGTATTGTGGTCGATGCAAAGGATGGCTTAAATTTCATGGTTCGGTTCATCGACGTATTTAAAAATTACGGGTTTCGGTCACGAATGTGAAAACACTACACGCTTGGTTCCATAAGCCGATGCAGTTCTGGCAGAATCAATTCAATTTCGCCGTGTGGTGCACGACGACCGGGTGCGGCGTGACGTTGAACGACACTCATCGTGATGAACTGACTCGGTCTGTATTCTTGTTTCACGTGTACTACCAGATCAGGCGTGGAATGCCGTAAACAATCCATACAATCGACGTGAATTCGAAATACATGCAAAGACGGTCGATTGGCGTTTGCCGGGTCTGAACCACGGTTTGGGCATCCCATCGTTCACAACATGTCTCTCGTGAAAGCCAGCAAACAGCTAATGAAAGATTGGGGTTATAAATCGTATCATTACATCAAGACGAACGAGTGGAACGACGATTACATGGCTTTCGATGACAGCAGGATTACCGCCTTTGCAGGTTTGAGCAGGGACACCTGGGCGATTGGAAAATGTTCATGCTTGACACTTTGAAAGGGTTTACTCATGCCGGTGTCATCAGATTTAACGATTCGATTCGAACGAGTGGGCCGTGCTTGGCACTCAGACACAGACGCGTTCCAGCATCGTGGGACGTGAAGGGACGGTTTACGACGCGCAGAAACAGTTCGTGGCTAACGTCGAGGATGCCATTGCTAGACCGATCGACCATCGAGTGCCATCGAACGCTATGAAAACGCACTGGAATACGCCCGGCACTGAGCAACATGCGACTGAGGTTGAACAGAGTGGTGGGCTACAACAATGAAATCGTCATCGTGCCAGCTGATCAAAAGTTGGGCTTGAATCAGTACGTCTGCATGTATGCATGTACCACAGGTTCAACGTGGCTCTTCCAATCCTTCTTGCTCTCTGGGTTAAGTGTTCCAAGGTTGTCAAGAAGTGTCCGGTTGAACCGTTCACACATGCCATTGCCCATGGCAAGATAGGGCGTAGTGCGGGACTTCTGTATGTAGGTCAGCCTGCACAGTTCTTTCATAAGAGCTCCTTCAAAGTTGGCACCTTGATCCGAATGAATACGGACAGGTAATGTACCCCAAAGTTGTGAAAGAAAACATCAGCGGTGGTCTTGGCAGTCATATATAATTGGTTGGATACACCTGTGCATATCTGGTGAAATGCTCGTTCACTACAAGAATATGTTGTTGTCCTTCCTTGGATGGTTCCAAAGTCAGAAAGTCCATACAAACTAGTTCCAGAGGATGTGATGTCTGTATGTTTACTAATGGGGCTCTTCCTGGGGTAGTCTTGCGTCTAGTACACCGAATCACAATTCTGCACATGCATCTCTATATCCTTTGTCATCCCTGGCCAGTAGAATCATGTTTTTACCAATGACGATGTCCTATCTCAGCCAGAGTGACTGACCTACGTTGTCATGAAGGCAATGTAGCACTCCTTTACGGCATCTTGTTGGTAGCACTGGCTGTTCCTGTACCTCACTGTTCTCTTGGATTTTCTCAACATAGCACACCTCTCTTCAGCTTGAAGTGGTCAAAGCTCTTCAGTAGAGTAATCATCTCTTTGTTTCCAGTGTCGTCAGTGTACCATGGTTTTGTCTGATTCCTAAGATGTAGCATAATGATATCCAGAGATTTATCTCGTGCTTGAGCTATCCGCCAGTCTGTAGCATTGATGGAATAATTAGTGATGTTAGGCCTTCACCAGTCAAAACGTCAGCTGATAAAAACACTTTCCAAAAGGTTTGTGGGTAAACCTGTGCCACAAACAGCCTGTACAGAGTCTTCAGAGATCAATACCACATGTTTTTTTGCTTCATTGGACTCTGGAAGTCTCGACAGTACATCTGTAACCATATTGGCTTTCCCTGCTCAAATGTCAAATTTGTATGATGCAAGGGCAGCTAGCCATCGGTGTCCTGTGGCGTCACGTGTGAGGATGTAAGTGAGCAGATTGTTATCTGTCAGTACAGTGAGTGTCTGTCAATAAAGGTAGTCATGGAATATCTCACAAATGGCCAATTTCAAGCAAAGAAACTCAAGCTTATGAGCAGACAAGGGGTGCTCCGACTTGGTTAGTGTCCTGCTAACGTAAGTAATTACTCGTGGGTGCCCATCCTGTTGCTTATATAAAATTCATCGTCATTTACCTACGGATGAGTTCTTCTAAGTGCAGTGTTGTATACTGTACAATAGGGGTTGTGACGACACTGAAAGAGTCTGCACACAAAGTTGCCTTCAAGGTTTATACACTAAATCACAAGTGTCCTCGATCCCAATGTAACAGGCCGGGTATAATCTGGACTAACCCAGCCCACATTATACCCCTGCAAAAAATAAGTGATTAAGGATAATTGTACTTCTCTACCAATTAAACACTTGTAACAACGTTAAAATGGTCCGATACATTCTCCTGATACAACGCCTAATCAGTCTGAGTTTTCAAGCCGACGCTAGCTGGGTACAACAGCCATTGCAGTGACTGACCAAGTGTACTGAAAATGTAAATATCACATCTTTACAGATTTGCTGTTCACATTACTTCTGCATCTGAAGGATACATCACCAGATCCTACTCACACCATCACCAGACCCTACTGACACCATCAACAGCCCCCACTCATACCGTCACCAGCCCCCACTCACACCATCATCATACCCTACTGACACCATCACCAGACCCAACTCACACCATCACCAGCCCCTACACACACCATCATCAGACCCTACTGACACCATCATCATACCCTACTGACACCATCACCAGACCCAACTCACACCATCACCAGCCCCTACACACACCATCATCAGACCCTACTGACACCATCACCAGACCCTACTGACACCATCACCATCACCAGACACTACTCACACCATCACCAGACCCTACTCACGCCATCATCAGCCCCTACTGACACCACCAACATACCCTACTGACACCATCACCAGAACCTACTCACACATCATCATCAGCCCTACTACTCACACCATCACCAGACCCTACTACACCATCACACACCATCAGCCCCATACTCACACCATCACCCCTACTCACACCATCACCAGACCCTACTGACACCCATCACCAGCCCCTACTGGTCATACCATCACCAGCCCTACTACTCACACCATCATCATCAGCCCCTACTGGACACACCATCACCAGACCCTCACACTCACACCCCTACTCACACCAGCCCCTACACACACCCCTACTCATCACCAGACCCTACTGACACCATCACCAGACCCTACTGACACACATCATCACCAGACCATACTGACACCATCACCAGACACTACTTACACCATCACCAGACCCTACTTACATCATCACAAGCCCTTACTCACACCACCATCAGCCCCTACTCACACCATTACCAGACACTACTTACACCATCACCAGACCCTACTTACACCATCACCAGACCCTACTGACACCATCACCAGACCCTACTTACACCATCACAAGCCCCTACTAACACCAGCATCAGCCCCTACTCACACCATCACCAGACCCTACTTACACCATCACAAGCCCCTACTCACACCATCATCAGCCCCTACCACCATCACTACTCCACACCATCACCAGACCCTACTCACACACATCACCAGACCCTACTCACACCATCACCAGACCCTACTCACACCATCATCAGCCCCTACTCACACCATCACTCACACCATCACCAGACCCTACTTACACCATCACCAGACCCT